TACCGTTCAATGTCGCCGTCTTGGCCCAAACAGCCACGAGCTGCGGTATCAGCACCACGCCGTCCAAGAATCGCGGGCCATAGTGCACCGTGCCGCCCAAGGAGCCATGGGGATGAAGTACATGGGTGCCTACCTGCTGGCTGTGCTCGGAGGTAAGGACAGCCCGTCAGCGGACGAAGTGAAGGCAATCCTCGAGGCGGGCGGTATCGAGTGCGAGGAGGAGATGCTGAATTTGATGATGACCCGCATGAAGGGGAAACAGGCCACCGGAAGAGAGAAAATTAGAGAAGTCAAGCACCTGCCATTGGGCCTGCACAGCGGTTCGGCCTGGCCCTGGATATCTTCGTGTGTCTATTGGCTCTCCCGGCCATGCCGGGAGGCCAGCATCAACGAGCGCGTGAGGCGTTCTCGGCGCATCCTCGCCTTCGGCGGAAGCCGCCGGGCCTTCTGACGGAAGGCCAGCAGAAGGCCGAGCAAAAGCAACGGCGAGGCGCCAACGTTTTTGGATCCAGGGTGGACTTCGACATGTGATGATATAGGTCAGTGTTTGGGCCACTTTTTCCTCCAGGGGGCCTCACCAGGCCCTGGGACCATCAAAAACGACTTGGGATACAAAACTGGCCCCATGGAAGGGGTCGAGACCTCTGAGGGTCCACGTTGCGAAATCGATCACGACGTTGGAGATCTGGGCATGTCAGGCAGGCCTGGGCTGGTAGCGAGTCGCTCCTCCAGAGCGTTCTGGAGCGCTCTCCGAGCGTTCTGCAGTGCAGCACTCTCGAGCGGCCGCGGCGCCCGCTGCAGCCTCCAGAGCCGCCAGCTCTCGGGCGTTCCCGGCGTGTCCTGGCCAGCCCCCAGGGGCGCGAGGGCAGCCGCGCTGCGCGCGCCGCGGCCCTTCTCCAGGGTGGCCTCTCGCAGGGGGGCGGGAGAGACGGCCGCGCGTCGCGGGGCGCGGGGCGCGAGGACGATGCTCGAGGTCAAGTCGGCGGCCCAGGTGTGTCCTCATCCGAGTTCAATCCCGCGCCTGTCTTCGGCTCGGGAGGGGCGAGGTGGCCTCCTTCCCCAGGCATGCGACATCTGTGTGTGTTCTTTCCCATGCGCGGCCTCCGGAAGTGCCGACGCTTTCCCCAGCGACGGTGTTTCATCCCGAGTCGTTCCTTGACGGCCCCGAGGCCCAGCGAGGGCCCGCGGAGGCCCCCAAAACAGCCCGCCGTGCCATTCGCAACGCGAGCATGTCTTCTTCCCCCCAAGGTTCATGACCTCATCGCCGAGGGCAGCACCAAGTTCGCGGCCTGCGGCGGGGGCGGCGGCGGCGGCGGCGGAGGCGGAGGCGGCGGCGGCGGCGCCGCCGCCCCGGCGGCGGGCGGCGGCGGCGAGGAGAAGAAGGATCCACGCCGGGGATCTATCCACGTCCACCGATCGGCTGCCACAGAGGGCGTGGTTACGCCAGGGTGTTGTTTGCGATTTGCGTGGCTGGGCTTTGAACCGCCGATAAAAGGAGGACGTCAGGGCTGGACCTAAACGGTGTTTTGGGCGATTTCGTGGACCGTTCTCGTTTCGACTTCGTTTTGCATTAGAGGCGGATTCGAGACAAAAGCGAGAGAAAACGAAAACAAAACGAAAACGAAAAACACCGTTTAGGTTCAGCCCTGGAGGACGTCAAGGCATGTGTGGGTCCAGGAGGTCGGGGGATGGGCCGCAGGAGCGACGGAAGGACAATGGGTTCCCCGCAGGTGTGGGCGCTGCAGTGTTTGCACACCGGGCGTCCTCGTCAGGTTCCGAGCCCCAGGACCCTCACGGATCGATCCAGCTCGGCAAATGACACATGAAGATATGGTCTAGGGCTCCAGTCGTGAGTTTTGGCGATGTTGCATTTTTTCCGCAACGTCTGATCTGAGGGTCGTCTCGTCGCGCGGAGGCGCCCCCGTTCCCAGGGTAGCGTGCCGCGTTGGCGGCCCGCGCAAGCCGCGGCGTAAGGTCGCTACGTCATCTTGCGCAAGACCCGTCTCTTTTCTTCACTCACGTGTTTCCGTCGGCTCCTGGGGGGGTTCGCGCCCCGGGGTGCGTCCCAGCAGCTGCGCCTAGCCGAGAGCGTTCCGGTGGGTGCCTGGATCGTCCCGGACGGCGGTCAGAGGCCTCAGCTATGACCCGGAAGCCAGAGGATGGAGGGTGGCGGCAGGAGTGACCCTTCGCCGGAGTGGTCTCGGGTGCAGGCCTAGAGGGATCGCACGAGCGCCAGCCTGCCTGCGCGTTTGGATCTGCCCCCCCCCTCCCCCCCTCCCGCGAGCCCCTGACGCCGCGCACCAGAGATCACTATTTCCTCGAACCGCCCTCGCATGTAGCTTAGCCGAGGACCTCGCTGAGCGTCGGCTGTGGATGCTATCCGCGACTCTGGAGACGGGAAGGCAAGCATCCATGTCCAGCGTTCCGCGAGGTCCAAGTGGGCAGACATGGTGAGACCCTCCTGCGCGCGCAGGAGGAGAAGAAGGTCGTGGAGGAGGAGGAGCCGCGGCAGGCAAAATTGAAGTGGCACGTGGTGGCATCTGACTTTCCCCCTCCTCCTCGCCCCATTCCTCCCCCCATCCTCCTCCTCCTCCTCCTCCTCCTCCTCCTCCTCCTCCTCCTCCTCCTCCTCCCCCTGCTTCTCCTTCTTCTCCTCTCCTCTCCTCTTCTGGGGAAGGGGATGGAGACTTCGTCTCACGTTCGCCGTGGCCTCCGGCTGCCCTTGAGGAAGAGGAGGACGTGGACTTCGACCTGTTCGGATGAGGGCCCCAACGCAGGTCGCTCGCAGTCGCCCCGGCGTGGAGCAAAAAGTAGATTTCGCGCCGATGAGGAGGAGGAGGAGGAGGAGGAGGAGGAGGAGGAGGGCGAAGAGGAGGGCGAGTAGGGGGTGGGGGTGGGGGGGGGCAGCAGCAGTAGCAGGAACAGGAGTGGAGGAGAGGCAGGACGGGGATGGGGATATGAGGGGGGGACCGCAGCAGGAGGAGGAGAGGAGGAAGGAGGAGGAGGAGAGGAGGAAGAGGAAGATGGGGAGGAGGAGAGGAGGAGGAGGAGGAGGAGGTTCGCGGGGGCGAACTGAAGAGCGGCAGCGTCATCAGCAAACAACTTTGCTTCGGACTGGATCCGACGATCTCACGCTAAACCATCACCCCGCCGAGTACTAGCGTGGTCGTTTCTGCAAATGTGAGCCAAATACGTGTACGATCCACCAGGCCGAACCTTGCCAGAGCCCTTCGGCCGCTGGAGAAGTGCCAGCGAAGCCCCCCTGGCCGCCTCGCCCCCCCCCCGCCCCAGCGCCAGGTCGTGCTTTAGCTTGCCATTGGCAATGGGCAGCCCTCCTCCTCCTCTCTCTCCTCCTCCTCCCTTCTTCTCCTCCTCCTCCTCCTCCTCCTCCTCCTCCTCTCCTCCTCCTCCTCCTCCTCCTCCCCTCCTCCTCCTTCTCCTCCTCCTCCCCCTCCCCCTCCCCCACCTCCTCCTCCTCCTCCTCCTCCTCCTCCTCCTCCTCCTCCTCCTCCTCCTCTTTTGGCTCTAGCGTTCGCATGGCCCCGCCGCCCGCCGCTCCCTCCTCGCGTCGGAGCCGCCGTGGGATGGCGCGGCCTAGAGGGGCTCGCGCGCTGCCCGCCGCCGCCGCCGCGCTGGTGGAGGCGGCCGTGCGCGGCGCTGTCCTGGGGGGCGCCCCACGCCGCACTGTCGCGGCGGTGGCAAGGTCGGCCGTCTCGGCCGCGCTGTTCGCTCAGCGCGCCGAGGAAGCCGTGCCGCCGCCTCGCGACGCTGCCGCTGGTGGCGATCCACCCCCTGCTCATCCTGAAGTTCCTCGCCCTGGCCCTGCTGGTGCAGCGGTCGCCGAGCCCGCGGCGCGTGCCGCGCGGCGGAGGCGGCGCCGCCAGCGCCGCGCGGCGAGGAATGCGGCGGCGGGCGCTCCTGCTGCCGTCGTGGTGGAGACGACGGAGGTCGACGTGGCGGCCGCGGGTGCGGCGGCTGGCTCTGCAGGCACGGGCCTCGCGCTCGTCCAGGTGGCGGGGGCTGCTGGCGACGCGGACGCCGACGACGACTCCCTGGCCGACGACGCCTGGGCCGACGGCCTGCGGCACTCGGCACCCGGCGCTGTCCCCTCGGGCGGCGCCGACGCGCGGGCTGGTGCTCCGGCGGCGCCTGCTGCGCCCTGCGAGCCTGTGTCTGCTGCTGCTGGTGCGGCGGCGGCTGCGGGCGGCGAGGCGTGGCGGCTCGCACCGTGGGAGGAGAGGCACGCGGGGGAGGAGGACGTTCGGGTGGTCGCGCGGCGGATCCTCGCGCAGCGCGGGCACCGCTCCTCCTGATGCTCGAGGAGTCGCTGGTGCGGTTCCTCGCGTTCCTGGTGCTCGAGGAGTCGCTCGTGCGGTTCCTCGTGCTCGCGAGCGTGGAGCTTTTCCTCTCCCGCTTGTCGGCGTGGTACGCGTACTACGTCTACCTTGACTGCATCGTCGGCACGGTCGGGGGGTCCAGGTCTGGTCAGGTCCAGGCCTGGCCCCCCGCTGACCTCTGGTGTTGTCAGGGAGCGGCGCCTGTGAAAAAAATCTTCCTCCTCCTCCTCCTCCTCCTCCTCCTCCTCCTCCTCCTCCATCCCTACTCCGTAGAAGTATGACGCCCCTGTCGCACCACCAGACGGGTCCGTAGGCTGGGCCAAGAGTTTCGCTTGAGATCCTTGTGCAATTTCAGATCCCGAAGGGTCTAGTTTCAACAGCTGGAAACATGGTGGGCCGGTGGCTTTCGAGTGTTGTGTTCGCCCCAGAGCCGCGCGCATTCGTCTTCATATGTCTTCCAGCGGGTGCACGGATGATGGCCAGCACGTCTTCAACATGGGATTCCCGCTTGAGACTTCCCAAACACATGGCCACATGTGGAAACATGTGCAACAGTTACACGGATGGAGGGCAGCTCCTTCTCAAATTGGGCTGTCGCCTGCGATTTCTTCCCGACCAGCGCGCTGGGAAGCGCGCCCCTGGCCAGCCGCCCCGCGCCGCGAGGCGGCGGCGGAGATCTGGATCGCCGCCCGCGCCGAGTTCTTCATCGGCACTCAGGAGCGCAGACGCCCAACGCCCGGAGATTTGCCCAAGATGTTTGCAGCTATTCTCCAGGGGTTGACATTCGATTTCTGGTTTGCTTGCTTGCTTTTTCCGGACCCTTCCTGAGGGGTCCGGCGTATTCGTTAAGTTTGCTGATTTTCTGAAGAGTCTTTGGGAGTAGAGTCGCCTCCCTGATCCCATGCTGCTTTCCAACAGCTGCGCCTCGTCGAGAGCGTCCAGGGAGGCCTTGCCTGTCCCAGACGGCCGCCTAGAGCCAGAATCAGGGTCCGAAGAAGGCCAAGGAGGACCCGGACATCCAACGTCCTGAACAAATTACAGTCGGCGCCCTGAAGAAGGAACCCTTTTCGTTGGGGAGGGGCTCGGTGTTCCTTGATTGTTGTACAGTTTGCCTTCTGTTTTCCTGAGGTTTTCCTGAGGTTTTCCATGGAAAATCGAAGTTCAACTTATTGGGAAAAAGGGGCCTCGTTCCTTCTTCAGGGTTCCTTAGGTCAACGCCCCGATTGTGAGAGGGAGGGTGTTGCCGTGCTCGGCCTCCGGTGGCCCTTGCCGGACCCCGGGGCCGTCAGGAAACAGCCCAGAATTCGCAGGCCTCGAGATTGACCCCAACACCAATATCGGCGGCGTGCCTCCACCGCCCTGACTCCAGATCCGCCCTACTTTGGCTTTTTTTCCAACTTAAAGTTGCGTCGGAAATCCACCTACAAGAAGCCGAACCAGTAGGGCGGAAATTTCTGCACCCAACATAAAGTAGGGCGGAAATCCACAGAAGTAGGGCGGAAACAACAACAGAAAAGTAGGGCGGAAATTGGCATCAGCGGGGCTTGCAAAATAAGGCGAAATTCCAAGCCCTACTTACGAATTTCCCCAAAGTAGGGCGGATCCGGAGTCAGGGTTGACCCCAACACCAATATCGGCGGCGTGCCTCCACCGAGGGATGAGGATTCCGGTCTCGGTGATGGTGGTAATATTTTGGCGTCCAGGGTGGCCGAAATATTACCACCGGCACCGAAGTCCAGGATCGTTTTCCCCCTGTGGAGGCGATCCCCCTGTGTTGGTGTTGGTGCCAATTTCCAGGCCTCCCAAGGAATGATAAACGGGTCCTGGGGAAAAGATGGGAAAAGGGTTGGGATTTCTGGAGCCCCGTATCAAACAAATCTAGACGTCGGACCTTTGGGAGTGGCGCCAGCGGCGGCGGCGGCGGCGACGACGACGTCGACGACGATGACGAGGGTGGCGGCGGCAGCGGCGACGACGGCAGCGCCTGGGCGTGTCGCTCGTGGCCTGCCGCGGCGGCGGATGCAGCACGAGGGCGTGATCTCGGGGCCCACGCCATGGGGAGGAAGACTTTGTGAAGACGTGCCTGGGGGCGCGATGATTGACCGTGGGAGGGGGGTGTTTGCATGCGCGTGCCTTCCTTTCGGCTTAGCCGGCGCGCGTGCGCCCGCGGGACCGACGAGCGGCTTGCGGCCAGGCCCAGCCCGCGACGACCAAAACTTGCACGCACGTGCAGTAGTGCGTGTGTGTGTGTGTGTGTGTGTGTGTGTGTGTGTGTGTGTGTACGTGCGTGTGTGCGTGTGTGCTCGCTACCCACGCCTGGGTATGCGTATGACATGGTCGATCCAACAAGAGTCTTTGCACGCTCTGAAGCGCGCGTGCGCGCCCGCCCATTCGGTGACCATATCCGATGTTCTTCGCCTCGACGCTGCCCGCGAGGCCGTTACCGCCAAAAGTTCGCGTGTGTGTGTGTGTGTGTGTGTGTGTGTGTGTGTGTGTGTGTGTGTGTGTGTGTGTGTGTGCGCGTGTATGTGCGCGTGTATGTGTGCGTGTGTGTTTGTGTGTGTGTGTGATGTGGTTGTGTTTGTGTGTGTGTGTGTGTGTGTGTGTGTGTCTGTATGTGCGTATGTGTGTATGTGTGTGTGTGTGTTTGTGCACGCCTCAATGTGGGGCAAGCCGCTCCCCGTGCTGCTAGGTCGAACGTTGCGTTGCGTTGCTTCTGGGGGCGCACTTCAGATCGATATGATCTCGGGGCTCACGTGACGGGGGTCAGCGCTCAACACGGGGGTCAGCCAATCCACTCTGGCTGACCCGAGTTTGAAAGCCATGCCCTCTCTTTGCGCTCCGCTGATTGGGGCTGCACTACTTTGCAGCCAGCTGGGCTCTGTGACATGGCCGTGGCGGCCCAGGTTATCGCTGACCCAGATTTGCGCGTCCCGGTGATCGAGGAGAGAGCAGAGAGATAGAGAGAGAAGTTGAGTGAGAGCGAAAGTGAGAGTGAGAGTGAGCGATAGAGAGAGAGAGAGAGTGATAGTGAGTGAGAGCGAGAGTAAATGAGAGCGAGAGTGAGAGTGAAGGAGAGAGGAAAGAGAAGGGGAGAGACAAGGGGATAGAGAGAAAGAGAGTTGAGCGCCAATCGCATGAGCACAAGTAATTGCGTTGTGTTGTCAGTGTTGCGGCAGGGGATCGTCAAACCTTCGCGGTTTGGGCAGCGGAGATCGAGCGTTGAGTTCCAATTGTTTGGCCCCGCTACAGGAAGCGCCCCCTTCAAAGACGCGCACTCCATGGGCATGCCATCCATGCGAGAACCCCGTTCTGGAAAGGAATTGCCTTGCATCCTTCCAGCGAGTGATAAAGAATTCGAAACGGTAGGATTATAAAGTTCAATCAAGCGTCCAATCAGAACACCGTCTTGAGAAGAAGCTTCTGATGTCGGTGGAACTGTCGTGTATGTCCTAGCGTCTTCTGAGAATGAGCCGCCCTTCATCCTTATAGCTGTTGCAAACTTGTAAGACGCACGGGCGCGTCGCTAAGGCGACTGCCCCACTTGAAATAGATCCGCCCACCCTCCCTGTTAAGATGAATGTGCCTGGCGCTAAGTCGAGAGCCGCAGTTTGAAAACTATCCCTCCATCCGTGCAACAGTTGGCAGATCTGAATGTTCGCGGCATTAACGCGAGAGCCGCACTTTGAAAACCACTGGCCCTCCGTCTTTGACGATATTGGGAGTTGAATGTGTAAGAAGAATGCGCGCAGCGTTGGTGAAAACGACCAGCCATCAATCTTTGAAGATGATGGAGGCTGTGGCATCAGGATAGCAGACTTCAAGGCAGTCCCAAGCGAAATGCCCAGCCCGGCCTATAGACGAGTCTGGTGGTGCGACCGTGGAAATTTTGCAGCAGTTGCAAGAAAAGGAGAAAAGAAAGAAGGAAGGGAGAGGGAAGGAAGAGAAGGATGAGGTGAAGAAAGGAGGACGAGGAGAAACATTGGCAATGGGACGGGCTCACGATTGCGCCGGGTTTTGTCTCGCAGGAGTCGCGCTTCACAATGGCCATCCAGCTGGAGCGGGGCTTCCTTGGCCGCTGCGGGGGGGCTCCTCTCACTCGTCTCACTCCTGCTCCTTCTCCTCCTCCTCCTCCTCCGCCTCCTTCTCTCCGCACCTCCTCCTCGGTCCTCCTTGTCCATCCCTCCCTCCTCGTCCTCATCCGTTTCCTCTTGGTCCTCGTTTCTGTCCTTGGATCGCCTGGCCTTCGTCTCCCTTCCCTTGCTGGCCAGTGTTTCTCCCCCTCGCTGTCATCCTCTTCCTCCACCGTCTCCGTTTTCCTCCTCCCCTTCCTCCATTCCTTTTCCTTATCGATAGTTCCTCTCTGTCGCACCCCGAGGCCAGTCGAAAGGGCGGGCCAGGCGTTTCGCTTGAGACTGCCTCACCATTTGTTGCCCTGAAGCTTGACATTTTGCAAAACAGTTTCGCGGATGGAGGGCGGGTGGTTTTCAACATATGGTTCTCGCCATAGTGCCGCGCACATTCGGTGTAAAAGCTTGCAAAGGCTTCACGGATGCAGGGCGGGTCGTTCTCAACATGTGGTTCCCGCTCTAGCGCTGCGCACATTCGTTTCAAAAGTCTTGCACAATGAAACAGTTTCAAGGATGAAGGGCGGTTCCTTTTCAACACGTGGCTCTCGTCTTAACACCGCGCACATCCGTTTTGAAAGTTCACAACAGTTTCACATATGCTGATGATTCACATACCAACAATGGTGGCTTGGCACGATGTCGGAATGCCAGGGCGCAACAGTTACGTTGATTCGTGGTGTTGAAGTCCCAGAAGTGGTGGTCTGGCACGATTCAGGATCGTCAAAACGCAGCAGTCATGGTGATTCGCGGCGTTAGACACTTAGGAATTATTTCCTGGCACAGTTCCGGATTTTCCAACGGTTGTCTTCCAGCAGAGCACATCCCCCCGTGAAAATGAGTCTTTGTGGGGTCCTACGAGGAGGGAGCTTGGAGGGAGGGTTTGTTGCAACATCGTTGATGAGTCTTGGGTTTACGCTGGTCCTCCTCCTCCTCCTCCTCCTCGCGTTTCCACCCCGCCCTCTCCTCTTTCCCCCCTCCCCTGTTCTCCTCCTCCCCTGCTCCTGCCTCTTCTCTCCGCCGCCTCCCAGACGGGTAGGCTGGGAGCTCCTGCCGATACACCGCCGCCGCTTCCCCGCCGCTGCTCCCGCCGCCTGCCGCACCGAGAGACACGGAAACAGCCCGCCGCTCGCTGCACAGGGCGCAGATTCACACGAGGAGGAGGAGGAGGAGGGGGAGGGGGAGGAGGAGGAGGAGGAAGAGGAGGAGGAGGAGGAGGAGGAGGAGGAGGAGGAGGAGGAGGAGGAGGAAGAGGAGGAGGAGGAGGAGGAGGAGGAGGAGGAGGAGGAGGAGAGCGGAGACAGAACATCGGGCCGACGGCGCCGACGCTCGCGCGCACGCTGCCCGCGAGAGGCCGCGCGCAGGCGCTCTCTTCTCCAGGCGGCGTGCCCCAGCTGGCGACCCGCGCAGGCCGCGGCATGTGGTCGCTGTGTCTTGGCATCGCTCGGACGTGCGCATTGTTCCTTCGGCGAGGACCATCCCCAGACATGATGGCGTCGTGAAAAAATCAGGACGGGAGGTTTTTCGCTATTTTCGGCCCCTGGGGGCCCTCGCCGGGCCTCGGGACCGTCAGAAAACGAGTCAGGACAAAAAACCGGCCCCGGGGAAAGGGTCTGGACTTCCAGGACGCCGTCCTGAAAAAATCAGGACGTCGCATGTCTGGGTCTAGGAGTATCCTTGATCATTTGGCGAGAAAGCCACGCACGAAGCCGAAAAAACACAGGGAATGGACGTCCGAGCGATGGCGAGTATGTCGTGTCGCGTAAGACCCCTTTGTCTTCGTCGTTCACATGGGTGCTGGCCGGAATTCCGGCCGTTCCCATCCAGATGGAGAGGCTTTACGGCCGGTGCCGCTGCCGACCCTGAAGGACGACGGCGACGACGATGTCGACGACCACCACAACGACCACGACCACGACCACGACCACGGACACGACCGGCTACGACTACGGCTACGGACACGACCACGACCACGGCTGCTACCACGACCACGACGACCACGGCGACGACGAAAAGCATGCAAAACCAATGGAGCATCGTTGATTGTGCCGCCTTCTGCTCTTACGTCGAAAAGCATCCAAAAACTGCAGGGACGTCGTTGGTCTTGCCCTCTTGGGGTTCTCTTGGGAGTGCTCGTGGAGCTCTCTTGGGCCTCTTGGGGGCCTCGTGGAGGCTTCTTGGGCGCCTCTTGGGGCCTCCTAGGGGCTTTTGGGGCGGGCGGAAGGCTAGAAATATCGGCTGCTGTTCCCCCTTTCGGGAGCCCCTTGGGGGTTCTTTTGGGGCTCTCTTCGGCCGCCTTGGGGGCCTCTTGGGCCTTTCAGCAGCCTGTTGGGCCGCCTTGGGGCGATTTGGGGGGCTTCCTGGGCCGTCCTGGGGCGTCGGAAGCCCAGAAAGGCGAGGAAGGGAACAACATTAAAAAACACAGTGGAAATCAATGGTTCTCTTATCTTAGGGCCCTCTTGGGGCTCCTCTTGGAAACTCTTGGGGCGTCTTGAGAGGTCCTGAGGCCGCCTTGTGGGCATCTTGGAGCGATCCTGGACTGTTTCAGGGCCCTTTTGGAGGAAGCCGCAGTACACGGAGGCAAGCAATCGAAGGAGAAGCTTCTCTCAGGGAGGGGTGCTCCCCCGGGAACCTCCCGGGAACCTCCCCGGGAACCTCCCAGAGGACCCCCCCCCCGGGACCCCCCCTTTCCCCCTCCCCCGCTAGCGCGGAAGGGATCAACGGAGAGGGGCTTCCGATTGCAGCTCGCGTTCTCTCTGGCTGGAACGCTTGAGGAGGAGGACCCGCGGACAGGGGGAGGAGTGGCGACGGCGACGACGGCGACGACGACGACTCAAACGGAAAAGCCCATCGCACACGCCGACAGGGTCGGCGGTTTTGAAAGGATGCGGTCGGCGTGTCGGGGGAACGCGCCGATTTCGTCGTTTGGGGCCCGTGCGAGCAGCGCCGACGTCGAGAGCTCACGCCTGCGCGGACTTGCGCAGCGCTCGCATTTCTACCACACTGCGGTGCGCACTGGCTCAAGAGTCCACCTTGTGGCGCGACCTGGCAGCAGCGAGCGGTGAGGGAACCCCATTTAGCACGGCATCGTTCTGCAGGTTCGATCTGATGCGGTGCTGGTTGTTGTGGCCCGCCCTCTCCGCCGTCCTGCGAGGCTCATGTGCCCTGCCCACGAGCGTGTACGTCTGGAACTACGACGTTTTAGGGGCTTCATCGTCGGGCGTAAGTTGCGCGAGCGACGCCGCACAAAGAGACGCATTTCGGGTCTTCGATCCTTCTGACACGGCGCAGGTCCAGGCACTTGCCATTGCCCAGGGCGTGAACACAGTGTTCTTGGACTATTATGTATGGTGCGTTGGACATGTGCCCTTCCCCACCCTGTACCATGCCGTGAAGCAGATCCAGGCGAGCGGCAAGAGCGTGTATGCGCTTATGACATCAGACAATGTTGGTGTCGAGGGTGCGGAGGACGGCACGCTAGGCCATTACAAATCGTGGCTTGCTTGGGGTGGAAATGGTCTTACGTGCGAGCAACCAAGTTGCGAGGAGGGTTGGATGCGGGGGGTGGCGCTCAACATCGAGGATGGCATCACCGCCGACAAGTTCTCCGATAAAACCAGAGATGAGTTCCAGAAGGCCACGAGGAAGGCGGTTAATCTCGGTCTGAAGGTGCACGCCTCGCTTGGTCATTGGTGGTACGACCAGCACCCGGCTGAAACGGCGATGGTGGGTGACTCCGCAGACAGCCTCGACATCCAGGCCTATTACGCACCTTGCCAACAAAGCTCGCCAGGAGGTTGCGTGTCCCTTAGGTCATACCCAGCGGCCTGGATCGAAGCAGCGGTGAGTCCAGAACTCGCACGGTGGGGCAGCAAGTTGTCCATTGGCATGGAGACGTCCCCACATGTGGCTGACAGGTACAGTTGGTCTGAGGAGGGGGAGGTTGCGATGTGGGCATTCTTCACAAATCAGTTCAGCGCCCAGAATGTGAGCGGATGGTCTGTGCATTTTTGGAAGGGCTCGTTTCGTGGGGGTACCCCTGGCTGGCCTGTCGAGTAAGCCTTGCAGCTGATGCAGATAATTCGAAAGTTGATCCAGTTGTTCTAGTGGCCAAATTCATGTCTACAGTTAAAGGCCTCTGTGTCGATCGGTGTCGTTTTACCGACCCACTTGATTGCCAGCCGCAACAAGCTTTGTCTGTGCGGTTGGCTCGCATTTCACCTTGGCTGCGTTGGGTGCAAGTTGCTCGGTGTAGGCAGCCATCACAGGAAAGGCAAAAGGCCGCCAGCCATCTGGGCTGGGCAGGGATCGAGACGGCCCAGACAGTGTGTGCCAGCAGCAAGCCTGGCCGCTTTGGTCACAATCAGCTTTTGCGCCGTCCGCAGTAAAGATATTGCGCTGTGCACCGCGGAAGTCCGCTCCCGCTCGGACGCGCCGCACAGCTTCTGATCATCCCTGGCCACTGCCCGCCATGCGTGGCTCAAAACAAGTGTCGCCGCCCGGGGGGGCTTATTCACCAGCCGCCGGAGGGGGGAGGCCAGTATCTTGTGAATCACAAGCTGGCACGCAGAAGCCATCTGAGGCTGGCTTCGTCCATATGGCGCTATTCTGGAGGCCGTCGTGGGCTGTCTTCAGCCATCTTGGGCCAAGAGGGTTGACGGCTATTTGGCGCTTTCGACGACACATGCCACTTGATTGCGGCGAGTCCCGCCGGCACGCCCGCGTAGCATCGAGGTGGATTCCAGCATTTTACGGCGGGCCCCCCGAGACGCTCTTGGGGTCGTCTTGGCCCCAGTGATTCTGCAGGGTTTTGTCAAGGATCGGTTGTGGAAAAAATGCTGGGCCGTCCAGAAAGGTTGGTGGGGGGCCATCGCAGACCTTGGGAGCCTTTCAGAGGGCCTTGGGCGGTCTCGAAACCGTCTTGGGTCGGTCTCGGGCTGTTTTGTAGCCGTCACGGCGCCGCTCGAGGCGTTTGGCCTCCTTGCGGTGCCTTCGGGGGAATAATGGTACCAGCGTGCATTATGTAATGAATTTTGTCGCGGCGATATGTGGACTTGCAGCCGTGGTCATTCTGGGAGTCATGCGCTAATGGCCTTCCGCGCATCCCGCCAACTTGCTTGATGCCTCTTGGGTGCCTCTTAGGGCCTCTGGGAAGACTCTTCAGGGTGTCTCGGGGGCCTCTGGAGGGCTTTCTGGGGCATCTTGGATTGGAGGGCTCCAAATCTCAGGTCGAAGGCCCCTCTTTGGCCCCTGTGGGAGCCGTCGTGCGGGACCTCTTGGGCCCCTCTTGGGAGCTCTGGGGCCTTCTTTGGACGATGCTGGGGGCCTTTTGGGCCGTCCTGGCAGACAAGCAGAACTCCCCAAAGTGTACAACAACCTACCATATTGACTTGTACCACTTTGGCCTCTAAGGTTAAGAAGTTGAGCTCCCCCTGGCTGATTTGTTTGCGCGTCCTGAGCGTCCGAGTAGACAGCAAAATGACGACATGACAGGAGAAACAATAGACAGGCAAAAATACCCCAGCAACGCACCCTAATAGCAGCCAAGGTGAAGATGGGTCGAGGAGTAAGGGGTCGGCTACAGGGGACATGGGTGAGAGCAAGGCCGTGTGTATCTCAGGTGTATTTTACCTAACAGCTTTTGCTGATAGGTTTCTAGTGGTTTCACAAGAGAGCAGCAGATGACTCCACAGGGGGGTCGGGGCGGGACCCGGGGCGGGACCCAGCGCGGCTGCCACTCGTTTTTCGCAAACAGTCACACACTTCGTGCTCTTCGACCTCCCAGAACTCCATTCCCGGGCCACATTCTGAATGCCCGGAGCCAACTGTAGGCCACTTCGTGCTCTTCGACTTCCCAGAACTCCATTCCCGGGCCACATTTTGAATGCCCGGAGCCAACTGTAGGCCACTTCGTGGTCTTCGAGTTCCCAGAACTCCATTCCCGGGCCACATTTTGAATGCCCGGAGCCAACTGTAGGCCACTTCGTGCTCTTCGAGTTCCCAGAACTCCATTCCCGGGCCACATCTGCCAAGTTCCCAGAACTCCACATGATTTTGAATGCCCGGAGCCAACTGTAGGCCACTTCGTGTTCTTCGAGTTCCCAGAACTCCATCCTGGGCCACATTTTGAATGCTGAGGCAGGCTGATGCTGAGGCCTGAGGGAGGCTGAGGCTGAGGCCGAGGCTGAAGGCAGACTGAGGCTGAGGCTGAAGCAGGCTGAGGCTGAGGCTGAGGCTGAGGCTGAGGCTGAGGCTGAGGCAGGCTGAGGCTGAGGCTGAGGCAGGCTGAGGCTGAGGCAGGCTGAGGCTGAGGCCGAGGCTGAAGGCAGACTGAGGCTGAGGCTGAAGCAGGCTGAGGCTGAGGCTGAGGCAGGCTGAGGCTGAGGCAGGCTGAGGCTGAGGCTGAGGCAGGCTGAGGCTGAGGCTGTGACTGCGACTGCCGTTGCCGCTGCGACTGTCATCGCGAATGCGACTACGACTGCGAGAACAGCACAATTCTACAACTGGATTTTCATCTGAATCTTAAGGGGAATGCTTTCAGATATGCTTCTACACATCGCTGTTAGGTTGCTCTGCCGGGATAATTGTAAGAGGGGTCGTGGCCGGCTGGGCCAAATATGTAGCAGGCATTGAGGCGAGAGCACGGTTTCTGAATTAATTGAGAAAGTAATTGTGAGGAAGTCCCCGGCGAAACGGCGGATCGACCAGGCGATCTCGGGCTCCCCGCTCCCTTGCGGGACTCGTTTGTGGTCCCCTTCTACTTCTATGTGTGGGAACCCTCCAGCGAAACGCTAGCAGTCAACCTGACAGCATGGCGCCCCTCAGGGAGCCAGCGGCTTGAGAGCCTTCGTGTACTTTGTTCGATGCGGTTTCCCATGTCTACCGTTCAGAGATCACCCTACTTTCCTGCTGATGCTCTTTCACCTGAAGTGGCCGCGGACCTGACATGCGTCCGTCTGGCTAGTCCAGTCCGTGCTTCCTGTCCCTGGCCAATGTGTTGCTCCTTGCACGCTTGCTGCGGCGCATGCTACCCGAAGCGCTCTCGTACGAGCGACCTTGCCCGGAGCCGGCGCACGCGCAGATGCTGTTTTGTGCAGTGGTGGTGGGGACCGTGGTGATTGTGATGGCACGCGACGTAGCTCAGTCTCGAGGCATGGCTCCGTTTCCGCTCGCCGGGCCGCCCCGGCGCCCGAGCCATGGCCGACGTCGCGCCGAGGCCCTCGCCGTGGGCTGCCTCCTGGCGCTGCTCGTCGCGCCGCCTCCGGCGGCGTGGGCGCCGGCGCCGAGGGAGCCTGGCCGCGGGTACTACTCACCTCGGCCGCGCGCGCGAGGGGCCCTCCGCTGGAGCGCCCTCCGGTGCGGGCGCGCCCGGGGATCCCCAGGCTGCCGGGCGCGCCGCGATGGCAGCGGCTTGCGCGCTCGGCTCTGGCCTCCCCGCGCACCAGGCCGGGGCCACGCCGGCCCGGGGGGTCGCTCGTGCGCGAGGCCGATCGTTCCATGCCAGGCGCGCGCTCCTCAGCCTCTGCCTCGTGCCCCAGCCGCCGCCAGCGGCCGCGTCAGATGGGGGGGGGCTGCCCAGCGGCGTCGTCCCCGTGGGGGCCTTCGGCCTGACCGTGGGCGGCGCCTTCTTCTCGAAGGGGAGGCAGCGGCGTGCACACGTTTCGCCAGCGTGGGCCCCGAACAGTAACTAAGTTACTGCACAGTGGATGTGCAAGCTACGTTGTGCAAGCTGTGTGGTGTGCCCCGAACAGTAAATTACTGCACAGCGGACGTGCAAGCTACGCTGGGCAAGCTGTGTGGTGGAAGCTCATTCTGCGGCAGGAGCCATGCGGTGAAAGGTCTGCGGCGAAACCTCGGCGGACCCCTGCAAGTGGGTGGCAACGAGGCGGCCACGTGGCGGCCACGTGGCGGCCACGGGGCGGCCACGGGCGTCGACGCGGTCAGACCTCGGCCGAGCCGTCCGATTCCTCAGCGACACGAGCGGGGACCCCTCAGTGCAGGCACTGCTCGGAGGCATCAAAAGCATCGGAGCTCCGTGCGCCTTTTTCTCCGATCGGCGCTGGAATCCCCCCCCCCTTCCTGGCGCGCGGCTCGCGCCAGGGGCGGCGCCGGCCCGAGGAAGCCGAGCGGAGCTCCGTCGGTTCCAGCTCGTGCCGCTGCTTCTTCTCCTTCGACCGTCGTGGACTGGGACGAGAGCCCGCGGGGCCCCTACCGCGAGGTGGGCCTGCTGAGCAGCCTGGCCGCCGCGGCCGAGGGGGGGGCCTTCGCCGCGTGGGGCGCCTGGGCCTCGCACGTCTGGGTGGACGGCCCCGAGGCCGCCGAGGACGGCCGGCGGCTCTTCGGCCTGCCCACGGCGGTGTGCGGCATAGCTCGGGCCGCGCCGTAGCCCCCGAGGTCCGGGCACGGGGCGCCGTCGCCCGGCTCGTCGGGCCCCAGAGAGCCCTCGCAGGTCGAGGGGCTCGCGATCGCCCGCCTCTCCGCGAAGGGAGCGTGCAGCAGCGAGGTGGGGGCTATGGGCTATGGGGGCTCCGAGGTCGTGGCTTCTCGCGAAATGCCGCACGCTTCTCGCGACGCCGCCATATATCCGCAGCGTCTGATCTCAGGGGCTGGCCGCCGCACCTGTCCTGGCCGGTCCGATCCGGGGCACGGGGTCGGTGTGTATACAGATGCCTCCCTGCTCGAGCCCGGAGGACGCATATGCCGACCCTGGGCCCACAGGGTGGGCCCGGCCACGGTCGGTGCGGTGCTCAGTCGGCGCGGCCCGGAGAGAAGTCAAGGAGGCCGACGGCAGCGGCTCGGCGACGGCTTTCGGCCCCGCTCCATCCTTCCAGGTGGGCGATGCAGTGGGGCCTTTCGGGAAGGCCGAGGCCTCGGCCAGCATCGTGGTCGGTTCTTTGCCCTGGGAGGCGCCAGCTGTTGCAGATTCTGGCCAGGGGGGCTTCGAGCTGCCGAACCTCAGTGGCCTGCTCCCCGATGCTGACCCTGCCGATGTGGCTGCTGGGCTGGACTGCCGTCAGCTGCTGAAGTACCCCTTGCGCCTGAGGCCCGGTGCCGTGCGCCTGCTGCCAGGAAGCGTTCCCCGTGGCGGGGCCGGCATCCTGCCCCGCGCCGACTTCTCCGGGTGGCTGCCTCTCTTCAGCATCGAGCTGAAGGACGTGGGGATAGACGTGGGCGTCCCGGAGAAGGTGTGAGCACGGCTGGCCAGAGCAAGCGGGGCACCGAGCACGCACCGACGGCAGCGTTCTCATGGTCGCTCCGCCTCAGAGGGGCGCTCAGGACACGACAGGCAGGTCGACACGGCCAGTGTGCCCCATCGCAATCGGGGAGGCGGCAGTGGGCAGGACGGCGGGTCGGCCCAGCGAGACGCTCACAGACAGCAGCTGGGCCTCGGGCGCAAAACAAGTTGGTGTGTAGCCTTGGTGCAGCCGTGGTGCAGCGGAGGCGGAGTAGTAGGGTAGCAAAGCTCGTTCGCGAATGGGCCCTCACACTGCCTGCATCGTGCCTGCAGCTGCCCATGCCCACGACGCGATGGCATCTTGCCCTGCGCAGTAGGTGCAGTGGGTTGGCCAACCACGAGACTGCTTTTCACGTGGAGCTGCCAGTGCTAATAGCGCATGCCCGGGATAATAAAGTATACCCCCCCTTCACGATCCTCAGGATTCTCCCTGGTCAAGACAGTTTTGGTCAGCAGTGTGGAGCAGCGGGGCCGAACTTCATTATCGCTGGGGAAAATATGCATCGTAGATCCAGCATTCTTATCATCAGCATCATCGTCATCATCATCACCACCACCATCCTCATCATCATCCTCATCATCATTAGCATC